GATAAATTCTGCTATTTTAATAAAGCTGTAATCTCTAGGAGGTAGTGCAATTGGGCAGAAATACCCTGAAGTAGGAGCGAGAAGATGAGGTCTCTAACCTGGACGAACCACTTCTCTGTTCCTGGGTTTCCTAAGTTGTTATAGAAAATATGAGACACCACCTTGTCAGCTGAAAGATTCTTAACAGGTGTAAACTGGACTATTGTTCTAGAAAATAAATTTTATTGTGACTGTTTTGCTTTGATGTAATTCCTACTGTTTTACAGAATTTCTTTGATAGTTGAAAATTTGTGAGGAAAGATTTGTAAACGTAAGTCAGTCTATCATATAACAGTACAAATATTTGAAAAACAATAAGCATGATTTAAAATTCTTATTTTAGTGTCTCATTTTCTTTTTTGTTTGTTATTTAGTGTTGAATTTATTGAAGCAATATTGGTTAATAAAAGTATATAGGTTTCAGATGTACAATTCTATAATTATATAGGTTTCAGGTGCACCATTCTATAATACATAGTCTGTGTATTATATTGTGTGTTTACCACCCAAAGTCAAGTCTCCTTTCGTCACTATTTATTCCCCCTTTACCCTCTTCTACCTCCCCCACCCTCCTTTCCCTCTGGTAATCATATGATTATCTATGAGTTTTTTCCCCCCACTTCATCCCTTCATTTTATTCACTCAGCTCACCAGCCCCCTCCCCTCTAATAGCTGTCAATCTGTTCTTTGCATCTATGTTTTTTTCGTCTATATGATGTGACTTTTTGTACATGTTTCATTTCATTACCTCTCACAGCTTAACTTCCAGATTCATTCATTATATTCCTTTTAAGTTTTAGGTATAATTTTATTATCATTATTTTAGTGGTTTTTCCTCTTGGATTTCCTTAATATTTTCCTATTCCATGTATTTTATTAAATAAGTCCAGTTGAACAGAACAATGGATACTATATGCACCATGATCTTGAAAGATAGTCTTTGTTCTTTATAAAATGTAAAATCAGTATTTTTTACTAACTGGTAACATCTAGGTGTGCCATTTGACAAACTGTTAAATGTTTTTGTGATTTCAATATCTATAAAATTGGAATAACAACATCTCATAGAGGTGTCGATAAGGTTAAATGAGATAAATATGTGTAAATAGCTTTAAAAAGCTTTCTGCACATACTAAATGCTCATTAAAAGTTGACTTTACTTGTTATTGTTGATAATAATAGCGATAATGTACCAATGTTTCTTTTTCAACCTTTTCTATATGTTCCTCATTGTTTATTTTAGCCCTGGAGTAGTGCTAGGACTGATAATTTTTAAATTTCTACTTGAAATTTCTCTCTTATTTTTTCCCAATTTATCATGGCAATCTGATGAGGTCTTTTTTCTAAATCTCAATCAAACTTTAGGATAAATAATGGACAGTAATATATGTACAATTGTTGAATGAAGAATTGAATGACAGTAATAAAATGTCAAGTCTTTTCAAGTAATCTAGTTTAAGAAAAACATGTCAGAGCTCTTATTTTACTCATTGAAAAACATCTGTTTAATGGAGAGTCACGTCTATCAAAGTTAATCTGTCTACCTGCCATCATATTCTACTTGACTATTAAAATTCCGCTTTTCAGCCCTGGCCGGTTTGGCTCAGCGGTTAGAGCGTCGACCTGCGGTCCGGAGACAGCCGGGTTCGGTTCCCACTAAGGGCATGTGCCTCGGTTGCAGTTTGTCCCCGGCCCTGGTTGGTCATGCGGGTGGCAGCCACTCGATGTGTCCCTTTCACATCGATGTTTCTCTCTCTCTCTCTCTCTTCCTCTCTCTCCCTCCCACTCTATCTGTGCAAAAAATGGAAAAAAATGTCCTCGGGTGAGGATAAATAAAACATAAAGTTCCGCTTTTCATATTTGCTATTTAATAATTTCTACACTTCCTGATATTTATATCAGATGCTTACAGTGTAGCACCTTACTCTAGAAATTTAGGAGATAATTTGAAGTAATGTATAGTGGATGATATATATTTTAAAAGTTTATTATGATTTTGAGGTGAGTATAGATAACAAACTTTCTTTAGGGAAATAAATCACTTTTTTTTTTTTTTTTTACCACATTCAGTTCGCAATTAGTGGTGGTAAATATTGAGTACATGGGGAATGTTACAAGTAGCAGAGTCTAGTTTGCACAGAGCCTTTCTGTATAGACTTCAGTTAGAGCTGCTTCATGCATCAAAACTTCTATGATTTTAGTCACTCTCTGTTGAAATTTTTAATTTTAGGCCTATTATGTTTATACCAAAAGAAAAAAAATGGAAATTATGTAATTATCTAATTGAATCAATTTCACCATATTTATAGTTTCACAATAAAAGTTGCTCTACAGTGTCACTCATTTAAAACCATTTAATCAAGGTTTCTTAAGCTACATCATGTCTGCATTGCTAAAGCTTTAGTTTTTAAAAGTCTAAGTAGTGTACCTAAGATGCTGAAGCTCTACCTACCTACTCATAATTCATCAGCATTTCAGTTTAGAACTTGCATCTATCTTATTTTCTTAGCCATACTATTTAAATATCTTATTTTGATCATAAAAGTAATTATGCACCTATTTCTACCTTTCCTTAAGGTCTCTGCCATAATTTGTTTAATCATTTCCACATTTGCTTTTAAATTTCCAAGTTTTATTGTGCAAACATTGTTGTGACTATAATAGGTTTGTATGTTATTTTGAGTAGTCTTGAGGAAAAACATAAAATCATATGGTGGAGAAGTATATTGAATGATTCTTAGAGCATTCTCAGTGTACTTTCACGAAACCAAAGAGTTGATGGTACTATGTTTTATGGCTAATTTTATTCAATTGTGGTGGTAGTCCTTCTTGATGGATATATACTATTTTTGTCTGATCAGATAGAATCAATGTCATTAGGAAAAGGAAAAAGAGATAAAAGACTTAAATATGACATGTGAACCCATAAAAATCCTAGAAGAAAATGTAGGTAACAAAATTTGAGACATCACATGCAGCAGAATTTTCACTGATACAACCCCTAAGGCAAGAGAAACAAAGGAAAAAATTAATAAATGGGACTACATCAAACTAAAAAGCTTCTGCACAGAAAAAGAATCAAACATCAAAATAGAAAGGACCCCTACTATATGGGAGAACATAATTGCCAACGATACATCAGATAAGAGGTTAATTTCCAAAATAAACAGAGCACTCATACAGCTCAACAGAAGGAAGACAAATAATCCAATTAAAAATGGGCAGAGGACCTAGATAGACATCTCTCCAAAAAGGACATACAAATGGTCAAGAGACATATGAAAAAATGCTCAATATCACTAATCATCAGAGAGATGCAAATTAAAACAACAACGAGGTATCACCTTTCACCTATCAGAATGGCCGCCATCTACAAATCATCAAACAAGTGTTGGCGAGGGTGGGGAGAAAAGGGGACTCTAGTACACTGCTGGTGGGAATGCAGACTGGGGCAGCCACTATGGAAAACAATAGGATGTTTCCTCAAAAAATTAAAAATTGAGCCCTGGCCGGTTTGGCTCAGCGGTTGGAGCGTCGGCCTGCGGTCCGGAGAGACCCGGGTTCGGTTCCCGCTAAGGGCGCGTACCTCGGTTGCAGTTTGTCCCCGGCCCTGGTTGGTCGTGCGGGTGGCAGCCACTCGATGTGTTCCTTTCACGTCGATGTTTCTCTCTCTCTCTCTGTTCCTCTCTCTACCCCCCACTCAACCTAAACAAAAAATGGAAAAATGTCCTCGGGTGAGGATTAAAAAAAAAAAAAAAAAAAAAAAAAATTAAAAATTGAACTTCCATTTGACCCAGTGATCTCACTTCTAGGAATATATCCTTAGAAGCCCAAAACACCAATCAGAAAGAACACATGTACCCCTATTTTTATAGCAGCTCTGTTTACAATTGCTAAGATCTGGAAACAGCCCAAGTGTCCATCAGTAGACGAATGGATAAAAAAGCTGTGGTACATATACACAAAGGAGTACTATGCAGCTGTAAGAAAGACAGATCTCTTATCCTTTGAGATGACATTGAGGGACCTGAAGAGTATTATGCTAAGTGAAATAAGCCAATCCGAGAAAGACAAATACCACAGGATCTCACTTATTTGTGGACTGTAATGAAGAAAATAGACCCAGAAACATAGAAGTAGGGTTTAGACTGACAAACCTCAGAGGAGGGTGATGAGGAGGGGGAGGGAAGAGATAAACTGAAGAACTTATGCGTGTAAGCATAACCAATGGATGTAGACAACAGTGCTGTGTGGGGTGCGAAGCGGGATCAGGAGGAGGGTGTCAACGGGGGAAAAAACATCTGTAGCAAAAATTAATTATTTTTTTTAAAAAAAATGGAAAAAGGTTTTTCTGAAGAAATTATTAAGAATTGAGAAGAGAAGAGGGAAGTGGAGGGGGCTGAAGATAGTGGGTGGAATGAACAGAGTATGAAGCGTAGGGGCTTGCTGTGTTCCAGAGAACCCCAGAGAGAAGGCGTGAAGGTGGTGGGAAAGAGATGAGGGGTCAGCCCCATTCTCTACACTCCATGAAGACGCCTGGCACAAGGCAACCTTTTTGCTATTTGGAGCCTTTAGGTGTATGGATTAAAAGGAAGAAAGTGTGTAACTAGCTAATTATATATCAGCAGGGAATGTATAAATCAGATGTTCACAACTTTAAAAAAGCACTGGTTATGCTTTTGTGTCATTTAGGGAACACCTTTGTAATGAGTGGTATGAAAATAGTAGTGTACTAGGCATGTTTAACATTTTCTTGTTTATTTGCTTGCTTTCTGCATTTATGTCTCCCTGTTAAGATCTGAAAAGCAGAGATGATAAGATCCAAACGTGCTATGTTAAAATGTGTCATTAATTATCACGGATACTTTGGAAATAAAAGACTGACAAATATTAATTTGATATAAGGGACCAGTCTAAGCTTCTGTTAGTTTATAACTTCGAATTATGTTTCTTTTAATAAGTTTCATAGGAGAATTTACAAAGGGATCCCCCTCCAGCTCCGAGGTGAGGTCTGGGCTCTGCTTCTTGAGATCCCTAAGATGAAAGAGGATACAAAGGCTCTTTATAATGTGAGTATCTGAAGCCAGCCTGTCATTTTGAAATTCAAAAGTAAAATCCATTTCTTTTAGCTTTCAAGGTGATGTAAGATATTTATATCATCATTTGAAATTATATTAAAAAACACATTGGGTTTTATAGGCCTATTATCTGTTTTCTTGTAGTCTACTTCCTAAATTTCAAACAAATACTTCAGTGAAAATGTTATTTTCTGTATTAATCAGTAAGTATCAAGTGCTTTTCAAATACTTAAAATGATCAGTCAATGTTGGGCCTTACTCATAAGGAAAGTTGACTAAGACCTGATTGTAGCTTCTTGTTTGCAATGTAGTAATATGAAGAGATTTACAGTGTCACTTTCAGAGTTACGGGAGAATAATAGAATTCAGTTTATCCAGCAACTGCCTGTATAAGGTGGACTGTTTTCTTCTAAATATGAAAAAGAAGAATTTTTCGTGAAGATTATTAGGGTATCTCTAGGTTTTTGTTAGTTATTAATAAAAAGTTAAACGGTGACTCAGTGATCAGTCACGCGTTCCTTAAATTACCCTAATGCATTAAATTTACCTCTTTGTCATCTCAGCTATATCCCTTTGAAACCTAAATTTTATATCAATCTTTGAAAGGAGTAAGAAACATATATCTAAAAATCAATGTGAAATATGTTCCTCAAAAAATGTGTATAAATAGAATAAATTAGAGTAAATGGAAAAAGTAAAAATTATAATTTAAAGCCAATTTCAGTGATAAAAGGGGATTTGGAATGCTCTTTTGATATTTTCTTTTTAATATATGTAAAATGTCATCAAGATGAAGGTAATAAATACTGATTAATTTAAAGAATTACTCATTTTGCATAATATTTTTAAAATTAGCTGATTGGACTCTACACAGACTATATAGTCTCATGATTTTAGAATTTCAAATTATGTTAGACTGTTGATTAAATATTTGCTTCCAGTGTCATAGTTGTGCAGCCAGAGTTGAAAATGATGTCTCAGAGAACATATGTCAAATCTAACCCCTGCACCTGCTAAGTGTGCATGTGGTACATGCTCAGTAAATATGTGTTTAATAAAAGAAGTAAATTACTTTTATTTAGCATGCTGTACTCATTTCCCAGGGCTGACATAACAAAGTACCACAAATTGAGTGGCTTAAAACAATGGAAATTTATTCTCTCACAATTGTGGAGGATACAGTCTGAAATTAAGGCGTCCATAGGACCCTACTCTCTCTCAAGGACCTAGGGAAGAATTCTTCCCTGACTCTTCCTAGATTTTGGTGGTTGCCAGCAATCCTTGTGTTCCTTGGCTTGTATCTGCATCACTCTAATGTCTGCCTTTGTCTTCACATGGCCCTCTTCCCTGTGTGTGTCTCCTTGTAAGGACATCTGCCATTGGATTTAGAGTCTACCCTAATTCAATATGACCTCATCTTAATTTGATTACATCTGTAAAGACCCTGTTTCCAAATCAAGTCATATTCATAGGTTCTGGGTAAACATGAATTTTAGAGAGAAACTATTCAAGCTAGTATCCAATATACATATTAATATTAGAACTGTGGTTTTCAGTTATATATCTTAGACCTTTTTTACATAGAATAAGATTTCTTCCAGTGCCTGGTTAATATGTGAGAACCATTTAGTAAAAACCAGTCATGCAATAACAATAACAAGAGTGCTCACCAAGACTTTCAAGGTTATAATTTTCATCGTTATCATAAACATTACTTTTACTCTGAGTTTCCCTCAGCATCATTATTGAACCCAGTCTTCTTTTCCAATCTGTTTTTCTTCCTTTCTTTGCAAAAGTGGTATAAATTGTTCTCCTCAAGTTAGAAATTTAGTAGAAATAAAACTACCTTTTCTTAATCTACTAAAGTTTTTCTCAGATCATCAACTTGTCCTGGCTCCTGACCTGGTGTTCTCATCTAGTCTCCTATTCTTTTAATTGTGTCTCATCCTTATTTGTCTCTCTCAGGCCCAGTGATACATCCTACAGATAATGGAGGTTCAGCCCATAGGGTCAACAACCTCTTGTACAGCCTTAGTGGGGCTTAATAATCTTGTGAGCCAAACCCACAGTGCTAAATGCTTTCACCTAAATGCTCTCCACACAACTTCTGCCCTGCGTTTTGTAGGTTCATTAGATCTTTCTTCTTTAAATAAGATGTTTATTCTTCAATTATTGTGGTAGTCATGGATCTCAACCTACCCAATCTCAGAGATAACTGTAGAAGCTGCTAATCTCCTTTCATTAAGTAAAAAATATGCTTGATTTCTTATATTCTGCACACTAACTTGTAAACGTTCTAAGACATAAATAATCTTTCTGACCTTTTTCCTTTTTCCTGACTCAACTGGGCTTTGTTTCTTTCATGAAGTTTTTTTTTGGATTTTATTGTCTTCTAGAGAAGCTGATATTATAGATATATTTGAGTGTTTTTCTCCCTTTTGACTAAATTTATTTTAAATTTTATTTTATCATGTCTTGCCAAACATTTTCTTTCTGTGTTTCAACATCTTATCTTTTACCAAGAGACCTATACAGCAACAATTGAACCTCTTTACTTACCCATTACCTGCATCCTCCCCACAACCCCCGATGTTTAAAGAACAAATATACAAAGATTATTATTTTTAAAGCTAAATTTTTGTAATGCCTTCTGGATCAACTTCTATCAGAAATAACATACAATGATATTTTCGTGGGCATATGATTCCAGTACAATACTCGAAGTGTCTTCCTCTGTCCTTGAAACTCTGAAGTGTACCATGGCTGCTTTGTATGTTTTAGAAAGCTACAGAGCTACTCTTCTCTGAACTCCACCTCAAAACACACAGCTACACATACACAACACTTAACATACACAGATCCAAGACATCCCTCCTCTTTTCACTTTTAGCTTGTCAGGAATTAACAGTTATGATTTTATGTATAATTTTGTAATTGATTTTAGCAGAAATATATATTACTAGCACATGGTCAGTGGGTCAATATACCATATGTACATAGATGCTTAATTTTACTGAAGCATGAGTAAGTATAAATTATATAAATTTTAATCTCCTATCTGGTTAAATATGGGTGATTAAACATACTCATTTAGTGCCCCTACACTGTGTAATGCCGCTAAATGAGAGGGTTGTAAAAGGCAAACCCACGAGGAAGAGAAGGAGAAGAGATAACAGCTGCCAGTTTTGGAAACCAGAATTCAGACAAATATCTTAGTGAACCCAAGAAAACTGATCGTAGCATAGCAGTGAGAAATTGGAGAAGCACCTGATTTATATCTCAAAATCTCCAAAAGTCTTGATAATTGCCAATTTCAGGCACCCCTGGATGCGGAATTGAAGCTAAAAACAGAAGTGGTTAAAAGCCTATTGCAGAAGCAGTTAGGGCCCCCAAGTCTCCTTCCCCAACCCTGACAGGAGACTGGAGGTTTACTACTTGGAGAGGGTAGAACAGAGGCCCGGGGCTGGAGCTCAGGCGCTGCGGAGGCGGGGCTGCTGTCAGGGAAGCACCGAGGGGTGAGATGTCCTGAACTGGGGCACTGCGGTCTTTCCCTCCGCCCAGCTCCCAGAACATCGGCAGCTGGGTGCTTGTCTTTTTGGCAGGAGATCAGAAGACCCTTCTCTGGGCAATCTGACCCACCTAAGAAAATGAACCCAAAGATGCTGACTTCAGGGGAGCCCCCATCAAACTGCCCAGCAGACACTGTTGTGAATCCTGCCTCTACACATAGAGCTTTCGACTGCATTTGGTCTCCCACTTCAAATATAGACAACGCAGTATCACTGTTCATCTGAGGAAAGGAGCTAATATGAAAGACAAATGAAGACAAATGGAAAAAAGCAACTTGTAAGAAACAGACTACAGTGCAAGAAGAAAACGTTGAAAACTATCATTATCTTCAGAGGGATAAAAATAGATCTTGCATCCATAAAACAAGTATAGAATGCTATAAAAAGGAACACTTGAGAACAACAAAGAGTTTATGAATATAAAAATGATAATAGAAATGAAAGATCCTAGAGGAGGGTTTGAAAATAGCAATTGAAGAAATTTCCCAGAAAGTGGCTTATAAAGTCAAAGAGATGGAAAATAATAGAGAAACTATAAGAGAATTAAATGACAGCCCAGGAGATCCCACGCTGTAATAATAAGAGTTCAGAAAGAGAAAATGGGAACGTGGGAGGGGAGGCTGGGGAAATCAACAAAGGAATTATTGAAGAAAATTTTTCAGAACTGAGAGATGTATGGGTTTTTAAGATTGAAAAGATCCATTAAGTGCTCAACCCTGTGGGTAAAAATAGATCCAAACCAAGAACAGAAATATAAAGTTTCAGACGTGGAGAAGTAAATTCCTATAACCTTCTAGAGAGGAAAAACAGATTTCATATAAAGAAGCGTGAATTAGAATAGAAACACTGGAAGCTAGAAGACAATGAAGGCAGTGCCTTTTGAGCAAAACTATTTTCCAACTAGAATTCAAAATAACCAAACTGTTAAGAAAGAAGGTAGCTATCAGACATTCAAAGTTTCAAAAAATGTACCTTCCATTCACCCTTTCGCAGGAGCTACTTACTGGAGGATGTGCTCCTCCAGAACAAGGGAACAAACCAGGAAAGAAGATGTGAAATGCAGGAAACAGGGGACCCAAGCAAAGGGAGGTCTAGCAGATGGTGAAGGGAGACCCCAAGACACCAGCTGTGTGACAGCCCAAACCAGAGCAGGTCAGAAAGCTCTCAGAGCAACACCTGCAAAAAGTTGAAATTGGGAGACTATCCCTTCTATTTGAACATCGCCAGAGGAGATTTATGCAACTTAAAGTGAGTTTGGGGTTGAATTAGCGACAACTATGTAGCAAACAAGCAAACCAAGAAATAGGGCAATGATCACCTCCAAGGAAAACAAGAATATTATGTTGGAAAGAAAAAAGAAATCAGTGGACTGGGTGACTCAGCTGTGAAGAGCTTTTATATAGTCCTAACAATGCAAACTCCACAAAATTCTCTATGCAAAATTAAAATCTACTTCTATGGATAGGCGAGGAGGGAAAAGAGGTGATGGGAAAAGGGAGGGATGGGAGAAGGAGAGATGGGGCATGAATGGGAGAGAAACTTCATTGTGTGACTCTTATGTTGTTTTCATGTTTGAACCATGGGAATGATTTTCCTAAACCAAAATAACTTTTTAAATGAGAATTATTTTACTATTTGTCATAGACTTTTCAACAGCTGTTTTCCATAAAAATGTGCTTTCTTCCCCTTTTTTTTCTTTAGAAATTAAAACACAGAGCACGTGGTTGTTCACCTGATATCAGACAAATAGACCTTGATGTCAACCGCACATATTATGTTTAGAGACAGATACGGTGTTAAGTAAGTAAAGTTTAATATTATGCAATGTAAATAGCATTTATAAATAGTCCGTATCAAAATCTTTATTAACTTAAAATGTGAGTGTTTAGCATGTCCCTTAAAGACTAACCTTAATTCAGGTCTAAAAGGTTTAAGCTTTTGAAGATCATTTGGTTCCTGTTGTGTCAAACTTAGGTTCAGATTTAACTTAAAATTTTTTTGGCATAGTTGGTGCCATAAAATTGGTAAAGAATCATTTTGTGATTTGTGAATGCTTAAAAAATGTACTTTATTAAATGTCTTAGAACATAAACGAGAGATTGTGTTGCTTTTCGAGAACTGTGTCAGTGATAAATATATCCCTCTAACCTTGCTCCCATGCATACATGAAACTAAAAAAGGGGGGAGGGGAGAATGAATGAAATGACTGTGACAGTTTATGAATGAAAAGTATAGTTTTGCTGACCTCTGTATTGGTTAGGGTTCAATCACAGAAACAGAAACCAGTAAGAGATATATTAAAGCTAATTATTGTGAGGAATCAGCTTACGCAGTTGTGGGAGCTGCTGGGCAGGTCCGAGCTCCATCGAGCAGGCCATCAGAAGGGGCAGGCTGGGACTCCTGGGCATGAGCTGAAGCTGGTGTCCCCGGAGGACTTTCCTCTTCAGGGAAGCCCCAGATCTGCTCTTGCAGCCTTTGAACTGATTGAATCAGGCCCACCCCAGATCTGCCTTAACCTGACTTAAAGTCAACTGATTATGGATTTTAATCACTTGTGAAAATACCTTCTTTACAGCAACACCTGGATTAGTGTTTGAATAACTGGGTATTGTAGCCTAGCTGATTTGACAAAGTTGACCATCATAGTCAACCTTTGTCAATTTAATTTTCAAATAAAGACAATAACAAAGTTATACTTTGGCTTAACTCTTCTGCTTATGACTGAATATGTTAACCCTTTCCCCACAAGAGGATGCCTGTTCACTACTCTGCTTTGATATTCTCTAAGCGAATTACTGAGATATGAAGTTAACTATCATTAATATATCTCATAAGATGATAAAGGAAAAGAGAAAAAAAAACAAAATATTTTAAACATATATACAAACATATACCAAAATCAGGAAGAAATACTCATTTATAGTCATTTCTGTGACTGGGCATGTGGTCATAGCTAGTTTATGACTCTCTTTCCACTACCCATTCCATACTTCCTTTGCCCTCAGCAGGTACTTCTGCTGGTTGTGGTTCTGTACCTGGTGGGGTGACCTAAACCTTTATTCCTAAAGGGTCTAGGCCATTAGCAGTCCAGCCTAAATTGGATTGTTGTAGTTTTCTGTTGACTTGAAACACAGGTTTTTGGTAATGCTGAGAGACGCTGTCCTTAAATGTTCTCTCTTTTTTTTAAGACATACTCTTCCTTACATCCATTGTGTAGTAGCAACTTAATTTCCCCTCAGTAATCAGGACCAGTCACCCCAGCCAGTACAGTCCCCTCCTTCTTTGCCTGTTGATTCAGAGGCATGAGGAACTCAGTGTCTGGGTGGCAACTTCCAGTGCGGTGGGATCATTGTTGTGCCTCCTGGGGGAAGCCTTTCTGTCTTTGAACCTAAGACCTCTAGACTGCCAGAGAGCCTAAGGTTGAGGGGAAGGGAAACAAACATGTTGGGAGTAGAATACCACAGATAGTAATGGGTGGAGCCTTTCCTTTTTCCACCCCTCCAGCCTGGGACCCCTGAATCTTGCTATGGGAGAGACAGCACCATGTACGAGAGGCTGATTTAGAGCATATACAGCCTCCTGGAGGACACTGCACAGCCCTGCAGGTGCTGCTCAGAGCTGGCACTGGGACCAAGGCCGTGCCACAGCTCTGTCAGGCCCGTTGCTTTCATGGGGATGATTTTTTTTTAAATAGTCACCTGAGGACACGTTTACATTTATCTTCAGAGTGGGAGGAAGGGAGAGAGAGAGAGAGAGAGAGAGAGAGAGAGAGAGAGAGAGAACATCAATGTAAAAGAGACACATCAATTGGTTGCCACCCACAGGTCCACAACCGGGACCAGGACTAACCGAGAAATGAGCCCTTAGCGGCAACCGAACCCGGGACTCTCTGGTCCGTGGGCTGACGCTTTAACCCCTGATCCAAATGGGCCAGGGCTGATTTTATAGTGAGAATAGTTCAACAAAAGAAGGCAACACATTTAAGAAGTTGTGAAGTCTTTTGTGTTTTTTGGTATAAATTCTTTGTATCAAAATGAACATTATCCAATCTCAAAGTTATACCACATAGCCCTGGCCAGTTTGGCTAAGCTATTAGAGCATCGGCCCATGGACCAGAGAGGCCCAGGTTCAGTTCCTGCTAAGGGCATGTACCTCAGTTGCAGTTTGTCCCCAGCCCCAGTTGGGGTCATCTGGGTGGTAACCAGTCGATGTGTTTCTCTTGCATCAATGTTTCTCTCTCTCTCTTCCTCTCTCTCTCTCCCTCCCACTCTATCTGAAGATGAATGCAAAAATGTCCTTGGGTTAGGATAAAAAAAAAAGTTATAGCATATAGAATATGATTAAAATTTGAGCTTTGGATCATTTATTATAATAGTAATTTTTTATTTAGGTTATCTATTTTGGTTAACCTGTTTTTTAAGTTTATCATTTTTACAGTATGTGAAATAACTAAGTTGTGTTCAATATGAATTTTCTTTTCTCTAGGCAACAATCCCTGTTCCATGTTCTTGCTGCATATTCTATTTATAATACGGTAAGTGGAGCTTGCCTGCCCATAGCTCTTTGACATGTGTTCTGAGGAGCAGGAGGAATATTTCAGCACTCGCTTCCTAACTAGGCCCTTGTGGGCCGAGCTTCTTCCTCTAGGTGGTCTCCTCAGCCTTTGAGCTCTGTGGACCCCTTCAAGGCTCCTTACAGCAACCCTGGGTCTTAGAACAAAGCAGATTTGGAAGTGGGACAAACCACATGTCAGTAGATCTTACTTTTCCTCTTTCTCCAGACTCTTTTATTATTCTTATGTTGTTGTTTATTTTGTTTTTATTTTAAGCAAATAAGACTGGGAATGAGAAGGGCTAGAAAGACAGGAAGTTGGTAGCTAGATTAATTTTTGCTTTACATTTTATACATTCGTTGATGTTCAACTAGGATACGACCTGTGCTTACTTGCTATTCCCAAGAGCAGGCTAAGACTAACCTTTCTGGTAATGGAACACGTTACTCTTTAGGTATTTATCATTCTGGGGGAAAATGATAATTTGGGGAAAGATCAGTCCGGTTTTAACCAAATTTGGATGTTAAATAAATGCGTATTGACTAGGTTTCGGGGAGGACAGCCTTGAACCTTGAGATATGTAACTTCTGTTGTAATGAAAACCTTTAAGTTACAAGGGACAGAAATTTTCAAACCTAGGGCAAGTTAAAAAGGAGTTTATTAAAGGGACTTCGCATAGAAATGAAGGAATAGTCGGGCTCATGGGAAGTGGAGCTGGAAAGTGAGAAGCCTTCCCAGAGCTGCACGTTCTCTCTTCCACGGGGGCCACATGCTGACCCTGATTCTCTTTGTAACTGTTTACTCCAATATTTCTCTCTCCAGATTCGTTTCTTTGCCTACTTCTCAGTTTTTCCATGGCTGAAATCGCACCCATAGACTCGCTGTGACCACTCTATTCAAGTACACACTGCCATCAGATTACAGTCTCTGTGGCTTCATTCAGATTTCCTAGAAAGAGATGGTGATTAGCCAGTGCGGCCAACTGATCGTTCCCTTGGGGTCAGGTGTCCTCTTCTGCTCCATCAGCTTTGGTTCATGTGCCGCCAACATGAACAGCTAAGGCCACTTTATAAGCAGGGACATGGGGAGAGTGGGAAGTTCTCAGAGAAGTGGAACAGGCTGGATGGTGTCTGCAAATGCGTGTATGTATAAAGGTCCAGAAATCTAGAGGAGGCCACACAGTGAACTGGGAACTGTTGGAGGAGAGAGATTTGCCAGCATCTAAGCAAAGAAGAGGAATTGAGCTGAGAATCATATATAAAAAGAAAAAAAAAACTATTAGTGCTCTTCACAGAGGGTATAATAGTATTGAAAAGGCGACAATAAAAATACGCTTAGGTTTAGACTTTGTTCACACCTCTACATTTATTCTTGAACACAATTTTATTCTTTTATAGTATATGGCTTAATGATATGAAGATTTCAATATTTTTCTGTACAGTTGCTCATTCAATAATGTATTTAAGCATTTTCTTATTGTTTTATAGGTCAGTTTTATATGTGCATGTACATGTAATTTGATCTTAAAACCCTAAGTTTCTTTGTTCTCATTTACTCTTCAGGAGGTTGGATACTGTCAGGGGATGAGCCAGATCACAGCTTTACTCCTTATGTATATGAATGAAGAAGATGCCTTCTGGGCCCTGGTCAAACTCTTCTCAGGCCCCAAACATGCCATGCATGGTAAGAAAGCCCATAGCTTATAGCAAACAATAAGCAAGGCGGGAAAATTAGAGCACAGACTGTGGAAGATACTTGGTAGAGTTAACTGTGAAAACTTACTATCTCAGGGCTTGTTCAGTTAATTGGTGTTTGTTAGTAATTATTTTTATTTCATTCTCCTTTATTGAACTCTTCTAAATTTTTCTGTGTACATTTATATTACTTTATGTTTACCCAGAGTATATTGTTGGCATTTAAAAATTCTTTCTTTACTTTCCCCTGCAATCAGAATAAACATTTAGGTTTGGAAGAATTTAGGAAAAGCTGTATTATTGGGAGAAAGAAAAGATGCCTTTTGATCAAAACTTTTAGACAGTCATGCAATTATCATTGCAGTAAACTGTTTGTTATTGACTGGATATTGATATATATCTCTTTGTCAAAGAATATTCATTGAATAATGATGCTTAGGGTGTTTAAAGAAAAGGTACATGATAATTAAGTAGTTTCATATTACAAGTGTGTGTTTTAGTTCTTTCAGCCATAAAATTGATTCCATTTTACATAAAAGGCTGGTAACACATTCTGGGTACTTTTTTTGGTTTTTAAGTTAGAAGATTGATTTTAATAACCATGCCCTGATATTTGGCAAGCATATGCAATAAACTTTATTTAAGAATTTGGATTGTAACTTGTCTTGGAAATAAAAGTGACATTTGTCCATATAATGCAAAATTATTTTTCCAGCACCATCCATGTGATAATACCAATTTAAAAACAAAATCTAACACTAATCACTCTAAGAATGGGTCATGCAAGCTCTGTTTGTGAATATTTAAACTTTATATTGTAGGGAACCTACCACATGTTTAAAGTGATATTTTAACATTTTCAATATCAAAAGCTTTCCATCATAGTTTATAGTTGATTAAATCTCACATTCTTACCATGTGGTTTTTATGGGGTATTTTGTATGTGTGTGGTCTGTGTGTATATGTGCACATGTGTGGAAGCATTTGGATGTCTCCCTCAGTGTTCCTTGTGAATTTTAAAAAATAAATACTGTCTTTATAATAACTGTTTCTGGACACTTTGAACCCCAAGAATAGACTCCTAAAGTATGATATATTATATTGAACTGCCATCCAGCAGACAGTATCATTTAAAAAGCATCTTGAAGAAAAATAACTCTGCTTTATCAGTATTTATTTTGCTTTACCATGGGATGATGTTGCTGATATATGTTATAATTTAAGTATATGTAATTATGTAGAAGATTGCCCTATTTTAGAAAAGTCATTTATTTGCATTTCATATATGAAAGTATCACTTATAAATGTATACAATAAAGTGAGGGCTGAAGAAAACGAGATTTAAAATATCAAGTCTGGAATATCACTGAAAAGTGAAGAAATATAAGGTATCTTAGCTAGTATTTATTATTGAAGGGCATTGCCTTTTTAAAAATCAGACTTCTTGAAATTCTTCCAGTTTCCATCCCTATCAAATTGACCATGAAAGTGGCACAGATAGAGAGAGATGGATTTTTTTATGAAATCATTTCACTGGAAGATATTACTAAGGGAGGAATAGAATCTCTATCTGTGGAAATTTTTACACACACCTTAGAGAACTGAGAATTACTAAGAAATAACCCTTCCTCAAAATATATAAAGCAGTATTTCCCAAAAGTGTGTGAGGAACATGGTTTCACTTTTGGGAAACATGTTTTGTGGGGAGAAAAGGTCTCCAAGATCAGATAAGCCTTGAAAACTGAGTTAAACAAAGAAAAATGTTTCTTTAGTCTAGAAAACAACTTAGAAGCATTAAGAAGCTCATATGCATAATGAATATCCAAGGAGGGCATATCTGACACACAGCATTTGCCCCGGATTCCTTTTTTAAAAACATAGAACATCTATTAACATCTTTCCAAGTTACACAGAACCCAGGTTGTTAAATGCAAATATGGAAAAACTGTAAATCCATTAAGTATATACCTTTTTTAATGGATTGTGTAGAATGTCTGAAAGGAAACCTGTGAATAAAAATAGATGTAAAGGTCCATGAATTAAATACACAAAATTAACACTGACTTACTATTTACAATTAGTTGCCATTTATGAATCTTACACATTATATTGTATGATCAGTTGGGATGAAATGCTAGTTTTGATGTAGTATTGATTACATAGTACCAGTATATCTTACCTGGTATTAAATATCACTTATAGAAAAGATTAAAAGTGATAAAAACTTTAGAAGCACGATCCTAAGGAAATTGTTAGAGTAACCCTGGAAAAAGTAATAAAATATTTGGTATGTAATAGAGTAACAGTAAAACAAAATGACAAGAAATCAAAATTAGAATTACCATAAAAATTTTGCACCTTTAAGATATGGTCCAGTAGTATAAGAGAAAAGATAATTTTGATAAATGGCTTCAGTTTTCATTTTTTCTTAGCTTCTTAGTTTTTCTTTTAATTCAGAATTATTCTTTCCTTTTATATTTTTATAAGGTTATAGGAGATCTTTAGAAAGCAAATATTAGACTATAGGTTTTATTAACCAAAGCTCATACACAATTATTTTTTTTTTGGTAGGGAGGGAAAATACTTTGGTAACTACTGGATTTATTTTTTGTTGTTGATGGTTAAAAATGAAAAAAAAATTATGTATTTTAAAATAGGGATTTTTATTGGTCTTGGTTAAGAAATATTGTTTTTATGTTTGTATTCTAGGCTTTTTTGTCCATGGTTTTCCTAAACTCTTGAGGTTTCAAGAACATCATGAAAAAATACTGAATAAATTTCTGTCCAAGCTTAAGCAACACTTGGTAGGTAGATGGGACATTGACTTACAACCTACCCACACCAAGAATAAAACTAGGAGAATTGAGTGCAGCCTTTGGTCCCAATTATCTTATCGATTAATAGTGTTGTTCATTTCATTTACTATGCAGTTATAATTTCCAGTTATTTAAAGATTATTGGGTTTGTGAAATTTAATGTTGATGAAGTATTACAACCATAACTCAAACGTCTTTGAAGCTGATATATACTAACAATACAGCTTTTAAAGATATATAATATTTCAGTAATTTTCAAGGGTTTTTTGTTTGTTTGTTTTTTTTATCCTCTCCTGCAGACACTTTTGCATTGATCTTCAGATAGAGCAGGAGGGAGAGGGGGAGGAAGAGAGAGAGAGAAGCATCAATGTGAAAAAGAGACATCGAGTGACTGCCGCCCACACTACCCCAACCAGGGCTGGGGACAAACTGCAACCGAGATATGTGCCCTTAGTAGGAACTGAACCTGGTTCTCTCTGGTCTGTGGGCCGACACTCTAACCGCTGAGCCAAACCAGCTAGGGCAATTTTCAAGGTTTTAAAAAAGATTTTTAATTGATTTTTTTTAGAAAAAGAGGAAGGGAGAGGGAGAGCGAAATATCAATGTGAGAGAGAAACATCAAATGGCTGCCTCCTGCATACCCCCTGCTGGGCATTGAGCCCACAACCCTGGCATGTACCCTGATCTAGAGTCGAACTGGCTACCTTCCAGTGCACAGGATGACCACTGGACCACACCAGCCAGGGTTTGAAGGTGTTTTTGTTGCACAAAAGTATTTTAAGGGTCTTCCAATCCCTCCTTAGTGAACCTTATATATGCTTTATGATAAACACAGTAGTTTAGTGAAGCAAAGATCCTTTACTATAAAGTATATTAAAGAGAATCAAAATGTTGTGTTACATTCTATCATAAGAAGGATTTGATTTTCAAAAGTGAAAATGAGGGAAAAGGAGAGGAAGTTAGAAGAGAAAAAATAGAAATACTTCAGCAGCATGAAAAAAGATTTGTAATGAAATGGCTTTATGTTTAGCTTTGATAGCTGCCTGCTACAGCCTTCCTAACTTTTAGTGTTATATGTCACTACAATCCACAAATTATGAAGTCTTTGTTTTTTCAGGATTCTCAAGAAATCTACACAAGTTTTTACACTATGAAATTTTTTTTTCAATGTTTCCTTGATCTTGTGAGTATTTATTTACAAAACCCAATCATAAAATTATAAATGTCAGGCAGGGCAAACTATTAATCTTATTTTAGTGTCTTGTTTTTAATTATAGACTCCCTTTACGCTAAACCTCAGAATATGGGATATCTACATCTTTGAAGGAGAACGAGTTCTTACTGCTATGTCTTACACAATCTTAAAATTACACAAAAGTAAGAAAATGTTTAACTATTAAGATTTCACAAAAATCTAGCCGTGTTTTAACTCTGATTTCTTATTTCCCACTCAACTTCATTTTCTTTTATTAGTGAGTTTTAAAAATTCCTGAAAATCAGTGCAAAACTTATTTTCAGTCGGTAATTTATTTTCATTGGCTCTTATGACCACAAGCTTACTTCATTGCAAAGCTCTTTGATTCTTTTCTCTATATCAGTTTTATTTTCATATTGAGACAGTAGAATATAAGGTGCTGGTTTTGCTAATACTATTAATCTTATTAAGTATTTGTTTCCACTGGGACCCCATTCTTTCCTGTCATCAGTCTGAATCCCAGCTTTGTAATAGGAGAAGAGAGAGACCAAAGAATCCATGCACCCTAGTTAAAAGGTCTAGAGAAGGACATTTCCCATTACTGTTTCCTTTATCCAGGAAAAAAGCATCCAGCTCCAAGGCATACCCAGAGATGGGGGCCCTAGCTCATCTCTCTGCTTGACTGCACTGTGGCCTCTGGGGCAAGTATAGTCCATGTCTATAGTTGCCTAAATGCAACAAGGCTTTAAACAAGTCTGCAGTTGCAATATTTCAGGGGCTCAGTACATCTGATATACTATGCCTTATTTTAAAATTGAAAAATGAGAATTTTTATTTATGAAATAAAGAACCTTATTCATCTTAATGTCTCAATTCATCCTTAAAAATTACATGACTCCTTTTGTAGCTGCAGAGAATCACTGAAAGCTTTAGATTGCGTATGTACTTCTATTCAAGCCACACAACACAGTTTCATTGTGTTCTGCTCTCTTATGTTCTCAAACGATTCATCTGTTCAGCTACATGTTTTGTAGTTTTTCCCCTGCTGTGCTTTGGCATTGTTCTAAGTACACGTTAGATAGTTTAATATAAGATTGTTTGGTTGCTCATCCGAAAAGCATGGACTTCGTGAGTGTCAGATTATCCAGACTTTAGATAGGAAGGAAAACTCTCTTTAAAGTCACATTTATATTATTTACTTTGAAAGAAAAGAATTCAGAAGTGTTGTGGTTTGTTTCTCTTACACCCAAATCCTTACTCCCCCAACACGCAAACCACAGCACCAAACAAAACAATTGATGTTGAATTGTCTCCAAGGCTGTCCTGTTAACCACAGGAAATCAATCAATCTCTCTCAGTCTCTCTCTCCCTTCCCTGTTCCTCTTTCTGGATTATGAACTGACCAAGATATAGAACAAAAGTATACTTGTTTTTTAATCCTCACCTGAGGACATTTTTTCATTTATCTTCAGATAGAGTGAGAGGGAGAGAGGGAAGAAGAGAGAGAGAGAGAGAAACACATCGAGTGGTTGCCACACACACAACCCCAACTGGGGCTGGGGACAAACTGCAACAGAGGTACATGCCCTTAGCAGGAACCAAACCAGGGTCTCTCTGGTCCACAGGCCAACGCTCTAACTGCTGAGCCAAACCAACCAGGGCAACAGTACACTTTTTATTAAGATATGTGCTTATTAGTTTAATGTTCCCTAAACATGAGCAGAAGAAACATGAAGTTCTGTTTCTCCATAGTTCTCCTCTCCCTCTTAACGTATGTTTTACTTACGACTCTTAATTAGTTTTGACAAGTAAAAATTCTTCACCCTTTGTAAATAAACTTTAAGTGTAACAGTTACTGTACATGCTGTCATTTCATTAGACTAAATCTGTGGGAAAAGTCTGTCTGCTGCGCTGTATTTTTTCTTAGGAAGAGAAAGCTCCCTGACTTACCGGAAGTCCCTTCACCACAATATAAAGCTTCAAAAACGGTGTCTGGGCTTATAACCAGTAGTTAGTTGAAGCTCCCAAGGTTTTCCCTTGGTAATTTCCCCATTGCCCTAACAATATTAAGAGACATTGTTACTGGAGGTTCACCACACAGTGGTTTTAAACAGTGGAAAAAAAAAAAGAAAAGAACCTAAAAGCCCAATGTTAGAAACTATAGTGCATACATAAGAGGACTCTATTAATCATGATGGTGTATAGTTATACTTGTTGAAATAACATGGACAGTGTAATTTACTTTTTAAATTGATAAACATGTACACATGTCTTATAGGACAGTTGCTAGTGGGATCTTAGCTGATTTTTACTTTGTTTTATATCGAATTTGAATTTTTCCAAAAAATTAATTTCATAAGTAGAAATATAAACAGAATTAGTAATCCATATTTTTTTTGTAATTCTGAAACAATAAAAATAATAGACCTAAAAGTGGGTTTGGAGCTTCATGTCAAACAGAAAGGCTTCATGTCATCTTTGGTGGTCTAGGAATATTGTATCTAAGAAGCTCTTGCTCTGGGTTAATATTAGTGCCTAGGTATGGTTATTCTTAAACCAATGAGAAGGTATTTAGTAGTTTTCAGCTCCCTATCCCCCAATGTAAGAGTACTTGCTTTCTTCTGTGACTGCTTTAATATCAGAAAATACTGTTGTCTTCCTGATTTTCAGTGATATTCACAATACCATATTTAATTTTTTTGTTGTGCTCCTTTAAAATAATATTACACCAGAATAGAATACATTATCTTCTCAATCTAAACTAGCTGTTGATGTAGCATTTTATTTCATCCTTTCTTAGAACATTTAATGAAATTGTCTATGGAAGAACTTGTAGACTTTCTTCAGGAGACCTTGGCAAAGGACTTTTTCTTTGAGGATGACTTTGTAATAGAGCAACTTCAGATTTCTATGGCAGAACTAAAGCGGGCAAAATTAGACCTTCCAGAACCTGGTAAGAAATATCTAAACACTTTATATCTAAATTATAATTATAATTAGAAGATACAGCTCAATTAACACGGGCCATTTCTGTTTCAAACGTAAGCACTAAACATGCTTGTGATGACATAATGTAAATCAGTGTTTTACTGTTTATGACTTTATTCTTATTTTAAGAAAAAGCAAATAAATGTATTAATTAAATCTGCCTCTTCTAATAGAATAACTGTACTATCCCTACTTAAATTTAGAAAGTGGTTAACAAGTAATATTATTTAACAGAAGTAACCATGTGGCTTTAAACTAGCATAATAAATTAGCTCTTTTTACTTTCATCATTTCAGTTTTTGAAACCATATGCAGTAGCAGAGCAAGAAAGGGTCCCACTTTATAGAAGAGGAAACCGGTACTAAAATGCTTAAATATGAAGCTACAGAACCAGCAGATAGCATTACTAACACTAGAGACCACGTTCTCTGACTGGTAATCCAGGGCTCCTTGCATTGTATTGCAGGGTAGATGATATATTTCATTTACTTATTTCAAGACATCTTCTAATACCTCCTATTAGGTTTTCTGCTAGGTGCTATGCTGGAGATGAACAACCGAAAGAAAGACATGCTTCTTGTTTTCAGGGTGCACACAGGAGAGATGAGATTTACACAAAGATAAACAGATTGTGAAGGGGTAATAATAGAGCTGGATAGATGTAGGATACATAGGGGGAGATCAGAGGAAGGAAAGTGGAGGATGAGAGGGAAGAAAAAAAATGTAGATCACAACAGGAATAACTTGAGAGTTTTGATTAGATATTACTTAACAATGTATGATTTTCTGGATAAAAATTATTCTGCCTTTTTCCTTTCTTACCTTTGTTGCATGGATGGGTGTGGGAAGGGAGTAGGGAAGTGGAAGACCATGATGAGAAATGAAAAGTAAATGCAGTCAGTTATGTGTGCCCTCGGGTGCAGTTGGATTTAGCATTTTCCATCAGCGTGGCCCATACTTTGATGTCTTCTTGGATGTGTGTGAACAGAACAAGCAGAAATACATTAATAAATAAACACATCTTTCCCCCTTTGGTAAAAACCAAGATGCTCTGCTTTTAGTTATTAATTGCAAGGGGTCTAAGCATTAGTGTTTCTCTGAAGTTTGTTCTGAGTCCTCAGGGTTCGGTAGAAAACAAAACATAACAGCCATAATTGAGAGTGGGCACAAGCCCTGTGAAACCGTCACCGTCCCTAAGTGAGGTCAATACTCTCTTGTTCGGTATAATAATGTTCATTTTCTACTAATTCTTTCCTGTAGCAGGGAATGCATTTGGAACACAATTACTAACTACATCCTTGCTACTTTAACATTTGTTTTTAAGTTTCTTGCCTACCCTTATAAAGAGTTTAAGACAAGTTTTTAATAAAAGTAATATAGAGGAAAATGCAGTGTATTTATTCTCATGTTTAAACATGAGAATAAAATAGCAAGACCTATGTAATTCAACATCTAACTAGCAGCTAATATTTACTGAATGCTTGCTGTGTGCCACCTACTACATGCACTGTCTCATTTAATCCCTAAAAATAACTGGAGGAAGTACTTGTCCTCATTTTACACATGAGGAATCTTGAATTCCTTTCTAAAATCTTTTTACTAGGAAATAGTAGAATGGGGATGGAGAGTGGGGCAGGGGGATAAGGGAGAGGGATAGATAAATAAGACTAGAAACATTGGCTTAATTTTGCTCTGGTCATACAGTTTAGGTTGAATGTGGTCAGGTGGCCGTACACTATCCAGGACAACAATGTCTTTCATCTCTGTCTACTACAATGTTTACTTTTTGAACTTTTGCCCTGCAGCCAGCCCATTGTTATCCTCTTTACATTATTGAAAGCTCAAAATGGAACATTAACATAATTCATTGAACATTATAACAAGAAGTTTTAGTATCACATGTACAATTTTGGAAACCTACATGAGCATGTTATTTGTGTTTGACTCCTTATGTAGTGCATCAGCACGAACACGCTCACCAGCAGTGTGTGAGGGGGTCTGTTTTTAGACCCACACAAATACGTGGTAGTACTGTTAATTTTTTTTTTTTGCTGGTTGGGTAGAGTTGTTGTTATTTTGATTTGCATTTCTTTCATTTCTCTCAAGTATCTTTTTTATGTATTAATTGGGCACTTTATTTCTTTTTCTATAGACTTCCCTGTTCATCTTGTGCCCATTTTTTTTTCTTTTTTAAAAAATTTTATTTCTTTATTGATTTCGAGAGAGAGAGAAGAAGGGAGGGGGAGAGAGAGATAGAAGCATCGATGAGAAAGAAACAACATCCATTGGCCACCCCCCACCCCCAGTGATTTGTTCCACAACCTGGGCATGTGTCCTGACTGGGAATCAGACAGGCATGCCCATTTTTCTATTGGCCTATTTATACAAGTTCTTGATAAGTTAAGGAGATTGACCAGTTTAATATGTGTTACAGATGATTTTCATATAGAATTTTAAAATTTCTCCCTGGCCGGTTTTGCTCAGTGGTTAGAGCATCAGCCCATGGACCAGAGAGTCCCAGGTTCAGTTCCTGCTAAGGGCACGTACCTCAGTTGCAGTTTGTCCCCGGCCCTGGTTGGGGTCATGTGGGTGGCAGCCACATGTGTGTCTCTCGCATAGATGTTTCTCACTCTCTCTTCCTCCCTCTCTCCCTCCTGCTCTATCTGAAGATAAATGAAAAAAGAAAAATGTCCTCGGGTGAGGATAAAAAATTTTTTTCATCTGTGTTTTTCTTTTTTTTTTTTTTAAATCTTCTATATATATATATATTTTTTATCCTCACTGAGGACATGTTTCCATTTTTTGTTCAGATAGAGTGGGAAGGAGAGGGAGAGAGAGAGAGAGAAACATCGATGTGAAAGGAACACATCGAGTGGCCGTCTCCCACAGGGCCCAACCAGGGCCAGGGACAAACTGCAACCGAGGCACGCGCCCTTAGCTGGAACCGAACCCGGGTCTCTCTGGGTCGGACCGCAGGCCGACGCTCTAACCACTGAACCAAACTGGCCAGGGCCATCTGTGTTTTTCTTTATGGCATCTCACTTTTGTGTGTTATGTAAAGGATTTTTTACATGCTGAATGAGAACTTTTTTACTTATTCATATTTTCTCTTAAAGCTTTTTAATGTTTTTATTTTTTATGCTTAAATCTTTAACCATCTAGAATTATTTTTTGTTTAAAGAAGGATGTAAGGACTCAGCTTTGCTTGTACTGTACGTAACTAGCCATGTAGCTTAATAGCCTCTTGCAACTTGAGATGCCATCTTAGTCATGTAATAAAGTGTCAGAAATGTCTGTCAGCATTTTATTCTCCATCAATTTCAACTTTTCTAATTACAAACAATTTTAATATCTGTTGGGGCTGATTTTCCCTACTTACTTTGTATTATTTTGTCAAGTTACAAAAAAAGAACCACTAGTATTTTAACTAAGATTGCAGTGAATTTAAAGATTATTGAGAGAAAATTGATATTTAAAAGATATTTTTCATATTTTTCTAAATACAAGCTTTTAGTTTTTAGTTGTTCAAGTTGACTTTACTCTTAATCAGCCAAATTTGTTTTTGTTTTTTTGTTTTCATAAGACTGATACACATTTCTTATCCACCCACCCAGACCCCACTCCTGTACGTAATTGTATCTTTCTTACTGCTATTATAAGGTAAACTTTCCATTTTTTTCTAATCAGTTAGGAAAACTTTTGGTTTATTTAAAAACTTTTTTTTTTAATCTTTACCTGAGGACATTTTTCTATTTATCTTCAGATAGAGTGGGAAGGAGAAGGAGAGAGAGAGAGAGAGAGAGAGAGAGAGAGAGAGAGAGAGAGAGAGAGAGAGAGAGAGAGAGAAATATCGACAGGAGAGAGACACGTCCACTAGTTGCCTCCCACACAACCCCAACAAGGACCAGGGACCGAACTGCAACTGACCAGAATCAAACCCTAGACTCTTTGGTTTGTGGGCTGACAATCTAACCACTGAGACAAACTGGCCAGGGCTAAAAACCTTTTTTATTGTGGTAAAATACACATAGCATAAAATTTGCCATCTTAACCATTTTAAAAGTGTAGTTAAGTGGTTTGAAACAAATTTATAATGTACAATCACACCACTATCCATCTCCTTAACTCTTGGTCTTTTAAATCTAAAATTCTGTTCCTATTAATCAAGACTTCTCTAGTCCCCCTTCCTCCTAGCCCCTGGAAACCACCATTCTACTTTCTATGATCTTGACTACTCTAAGTAACTCATATAAGTGGAATAATACTGTGTTTGTCTTTTGTGGATTGACTTATTTCACTCATCATAGCATCCTCATGGTTCATCAATGTTGTAGCCTCTGTCAGAATTTTCTTCCTTTTTAAGGCTGAATAATTTTCCATTATATATGTAAACCACATTTTGCTTATCCATTCAAGATGCAAATTTGAGTTGCTTTCACGTTTTTAGCTATTGTTAAATAATTCTGCAATGAACATAGGTGTACAAATACCTCTTTGAAACCTTGCTTTTAATTCTTTTGAGTATATACCCAGAAATGGATTTGCTGGGTCATATTGTAATTCTGTTTTTAATTTTTTGAAGAATTACTGCTGTTTTCCACAGCAGCTGCATCTTTTTACATTTCTACCAACATGCACAGGGGTTCCAATTCAATATTATTGCCAGCATTTCTTTTTTTTTCCCTTTAGTAGCTATCTTGATTGGTGTGAGGTGGTAGGTATCTTACTGTAGTTTTGATTTACATTTTCAATGAGTTGAATTGTCTTTTCATGTGCTTATCGGTCATCTATAGATTTTCTTTGGAGAAAAATTTTAAAAAGTTTTTTTCCTTTATTGATTTTTATAGAGAGCAGAAGGGAGAGGGAGAGAGAAATAGAAACATCAATGAGAAAGAACATCCACTGGCCGCCTCCTGCACAACCCCTCTGGGGATTTGGCTGACAACCTGGACATGTGCCCTGTCC